ATACAACCGGAATAAGTTGTGCGTAATAAAAGAAGTCATGCCAACTATACAGATGCATTTAAGCTGCAGAATCCAGCATTTTATTTTTTTTTGCAGAATTTGAAACTCTCTAGACTCAGATTTTTAAAAGCAAAGAATACAATGCCCAGAATCCTTTATTGTATATGTGGAGTGGAACACTCTGCATGCACAGCCCTGCCTTTCTCTTCCCCCTGTGGCAGCTGTCCAGCTTGGAGAAAGGGGCACTGCTGCAGCTGATCACTGGCTGGAAAAGGAGTAAAGTGACCGACAACCAAGAAGTTGTCCATCTTGATTATGAGGGAAGAAAAAAAAAATGAGATTGCTTTCCATCCAGGGGAGCAACTCTTTTTCTTTTCCACCTGTTTGCAGTTACAGCTGGGGAGGGGGTCACTTCTTGGTCATGTGAGTTGCCCCATCCTCTCTCCGACCAGTGAATAACTGCAGTAATGCACCCTGCCAGGGCTTCATAGCTGCCTTGGGGGAGAACATTTGGGCAGTGTGCAAGGGACTGTTGCATAGCTTCTTGTGCACTGTTCAAGAGATCTGTACGCCTGAATTATGCATGTGTGTGTCACTGACAAGCTTCTAGTCAACATTTAGTATGCACAGCCCTGGGGGAAAAAGAAGAAAAGGTCTATTGAGAGTTTTAGCAGCAAGTACACACTTTCATGGGATTAAATTCAATTCAGTTTAATAGGGCTTACTTTTCTGTAGACAGATATAGACTTGTGTGACACATGTGGGATTTCCATATAGAAAGGCACCTGGATCACAGGTGGACAAAGTGTGGCCCTCTCGATGTTATTCGCTTGTAATTCCTACCAGTTTAGGCACCATAGCCCATGGGGAAGAATTGTGGTAGCTCCAGTTCAACAAGATATGGAAGGTCACACTTCGCTGTTGTTATTGTGTGCCTTCAAGTTATTGCCAACTTATTGTGACCCTAAGGCAACCAAATCTTGGGCTTTCTTGGCAAGATTTGTTCAGAGGAGGCTTGCCATTGCCTTCCCCTAGGGCTGAGAGCATGTGACTTGCCCGCGGTTACCCAGTGGGTGTCATGACTGAGCTGGAAATCGAACCTGGTCTCCAGAGTCATAGTTCAACACTCAAACCACTACACCATGCCTGATTCCCTTCACATATTAGATTTCTGAATATCAAGATAAGCAACAAAGGAAAATTAGTTTACATCTTAGTTGGGACCCACGAGAACAACCTCTGCCAACGTAGATCCCCCTAGAACAGTGTTTCTCAAATGGTGGGACAGGATCCCAGTGTGGGAGAGAGAGAGAGAGTTGCTCAAGGGAAGAGCAAGACTTAGAGGCCATGATTTCTTCTCCTCTTCCCAGACTTTGTTATGTGTAAAATTAACACATGCAATGAGTTAAATATTAAATTTACTTAAATAAAACTGTTCTACTTTGAATGATGTTATTTCCATATAAAACGTTAAAATATGAAAATAAACAAATGTGCAAATGAAAATGTGCACACTAAATAAACAAAATACAGTGGGTCCTTGTTATCTGCTGGGGTTTGGTTCCAGAACCTTCCGTGGATAACAAAATCCATGGATGCTCAAGTCCCATTAAATGTAATGGCATAGCAAAATGATGTACCTTATATAAAATGGAAAATCAAGGTTTGCTATTTGGAATTTATATTTTTTAAAAAATATTTTCAAGGTGCTTGAATCTGTGGATAAAAAATCCATGGACAAGGAGGAGTGATTGTATTTTTATTCATATACTACATCAAATGTGGGGGACATGACATCTGCATGTACGGGTAAAATATTTGAGTACTACTTCCCTAGAGGTTTTAGCCTACAACTCCCATCAGTCTCAACCAGCATGACCAAAGTCCAGGAATGATGGACTCTGCAGGCCAAAACATCTGAAAGGACCTAACTGGTTTCTCTTGGCAAAGAAACATTGGATAACATGGCTCCTTGGTTTAGCTGGATAAGGCAGCTTTTATGGGTCTGAAAGTGTTCTCTTTCATTAAGATCATATTTCAGGGGGGACATTCTGTAGCCTGCTGATGGGAGAAGAGACACTGCAAGAACTTGGAGCTCTGAAAGGAGACAACATCCTGTACTTTGTGCAGCACAGTCACTCTGCATCCTTATCTTTAAGCCACTGTGTTCTTTTCCCCATGGCCAGTCTCATTTCAGTGTAAAACCCAAGTACAGTATGAAAGACACTGGATTGGCCAAGTGTGTCCTTGACTGCAATAGACAGGGTCCTCTTGGGATACTAAATGATGGAATACATACCACCTACATTTATGGAATTTGTACAGTGCTGCAACCAAGACAAAACTTCTATAAAGGTTCAAGATAATGTTGATTTTTGTGTCAAAATGTTTTGTGAAACAGCACACATTTTTCCAGACCTTTCACCATTTGTGTTGCCCTTCTCTGGACACACTTCAAATCCCAGGATTGCTTAGGATGGAGTTATGGCAAAATGGTATGGTATGAAACAGATATAACTGTGTAGTACAGATAAACCATGTGAGACCATTGACACAGTACCACTTAGGAAAACTCCTAAGGTCTGAGAATAAGGATACCATAAAGTTTCAAACCTGGTCTGATCAAGCACAAGTAAGGTATCTGACCACAACTTGTTGTGTTGTTGTTGTTTTGCACCTTAAAGTCATTTCTGCATTATGACAATCCTAAGGCAACCATATCACAGGGTTTTCTTTACAGAATTTGTTCAGAGGGGGCTTGCCTTTACCTCCCTTAGAGGCTGAGAAAGTGTGATTTGCACAAGATTATTTCATGGGTTTCCATGCTGAGCAGGGATTTGAACCCTGATCTTCTAGTATCCTTGTCCAACACTCATGTCATTACATCACATTGGCTCTCCCTACATCATACTGTCTCTCCAGTTAATACTGAGGCACAGTATTATGCTACCACTTCTGTCAAGCCATCTTGAGCCTATATAACTAGTAAAAACTCTGCCTCCGCCTTGTCCATTGGGGTAATGCTGCTGCATACTTAAGGCATAATCCTAACTGCCCAAGATGGAGAAGAGTCAGCTGAGTTAACAATAGACCAGAAGACCTTGTGTTAAAGTGAAGGCCTTCCCTCCCTAAAACTACTCTGATCCTGGTTTAACTTTGTGCTGGCATTGTGGCTGTGTTTCAGGGCTGGAAGACATTTGGATCTGGTGAATCTTGGCTTCTTCCTGCCTGTATCCCTTTTCTACTCATTTTGATGCTTCTGCTAGCAGATCTTGGCCAGCAGATCAGCTCTGCTGACCAATTCAACTGTTAGCATATTTCTGAGCTCAGCTGACAGAAGGGAATTCTTCTGGCAGATGCAGGCTTTTGTCAACAGAAGGGGCTTCTGCCCTATCCTAACTCTACAGAGTTATACAACTTTGAATTAGAATTCTGTTGCCCTTTGGTAGCAGTAAGAAAAATGAAGGCAAGTGTCAGGCATTGGGGAAAAAAGACAGTGTTGTTTATTCAAGTGTTCAAAGCCTTCTGCTTTCTTACAAAACCATTCCTCTTTTAGGGCTGAATGAAAATAGCTTACCAAAAATCCCTGTCCTTTTTTGCAGGTGGCAAAATCAAGAAAGCCATTTCACTATATATTCCACATTATAATACATGATTACAGGCAAACATTCCCATTTTGGATATAGTGAGTTGTTTTGAGGTATATTATCTTAAGCGTTCAGATTCTTCTGGGTTCCAGCAAAGACAGAACATCAGGATCCTAGACTCTTTGTCCATCCTGTGAACATGGCGTTCTTCCCAGTGCAAGCCTTTTGAGAAGCGAGTGTGTCCCAGCTTTAGCAAGGAGCAACAGAGGACAGTCATAAACAATGAATCAGCTATTCCAAACTAAACTGTAATAATAATATAAAACAAGCACCAGAGGTTGGTTGGGTGAAAGATGAAAAGCAATGTATCTTCTCAACATAGAGAGAAACAAACAAACAAACAAACAAATATGTGAACCTGCTATTAGCAGTAATGGAAGGGAAAAATCAGACAATCAGCTTGGTCTGCCTGTTTTTGCCACTCAAGTCTTGACAATGCTAGAATAGCCTTTGCAAATTTGGTAGAGCAGCTACTACCACCAGCACTAATCATTATGAGGAATAGTTGGAAGATGTAGTGCAAAACATCTGGTGGATCTCAGGTTGGGGAAGGCTGTACTGGAATTACACACTGTAAACCACTTTGGGAGTGCTTAAGTGCACTGGTAAGTGGTACAGAAATATACTTGCTATTGCTATGGAATAAACAGCATATTGGCTGATAACCTGCACCAGGTTTTTGTAGTGTAAGGACTTTACCACATGAGACTAAAAAGCAGAATTTTAACAGAACAAAAGCACCTGTGGCTGGTACTTATTCATACAACATCATGTCTGTCCTTCTGCTGTCTTGCATTCCATTTGTTACTGTAGGGCACCTTTTCATTAAAGGCAAACCCCATCAATAGGCTTCAGTCTCCTTGCTAGTCCATTACTGCTTTTGTGCAACAAGTCTCTTCTGCTGCAGTTGTGCATCTCATACATGGTGTAAGTGGGTGCAATTCTCCTCCTCTCTCCCTTCCCCTCAAAGTGACTGTGCCACCAACAGCAAACCCCCGTGGACAAATCTTTTCAAGAAAACCCCATGATAGGATCACCATACAGTCACCATATGTTGGAAATGGAGGCACATAACAACAACAAAAAGAGTCTGGTACTTTGGGTAAATAGAATCTGTTCTCAGCTGCCCTGATTACTTCTTGCCCTTTATGAAAGATCATAATGCTGATGGAAACTTAAATCATACAGCAGTTACACTTTTCAGTTATTACTGTGTGACTTCAGGTTGTTTCCAACTTATGGTAACTCTAAGGAAACTCTATTACTGGTCTTTCTTGGCAAAGATTGTTCAGAGGGGTTTGTCATTGCCTTCCTCTAAGTGTGACTTACCCAAGATCAGTTGGTTGGTTTCCATGACCAACCAGGGATTTGAACCCTGGTCTCCCGGAGTCCCTGTCCAGCACTCAAACCACTATCCCATATTGGCTCTCAAGACACTTTCTAGAGCATTGGCAATAGATCTGTACCTGTTTCTTTCCTACTGAGGATGTCAATGTGAACTAACTGGGTCATGACTGAGAATGGAACCCCAGGAACTCCAATAAAGAAACAAAGATTTGGTTGATCACCACCACACACTGGATCAGTTCCTTGGTATTTGGTATCATATACTTGACAGACTGCTACATGCTTTCCTTCCTCTTTTTTGGTACTGGCTTCTCACTCTGATTCCCTCAGGAGCTGAGCTCAGGTGTGCCCTAAAGAGCCCATCACTGATCCTCACCCAATATAGCCATTGAGATCTCACTCCTTATAAATCTACTTCACTAGTCATCAATCTGTGAACAACCCAAACCAACAATATATAGTTGAAATTCCAAATAGGCAACCCAAGATAACTGAGAACCACAAATGTAATTGCTCCTCATTTTAGAGGCTAGTTCTTGTTCATCATTCCAGGATGCTCTTGCAGGCACTGTTCTATGTGACCTGTTTTATAGCAGGTTGGAAGTCCAAACTTTCCCCTCTGTCCCCTTGAATTGTTTTCCCTCCTTCCTTCCTCCCTTGCACTCACCACCCACAGCTTTCAGGCACTCTCAACATTAAAACAATAAATAATAAAATAAAATAAAAAATGCATGACCCTGTGGCAATTTACCAGCTCTAGCTTTGGTTTTGGTTGGTGGTTTCTTCGTCTGCTCACTATAATCCCAGAATTTACATAGCTGAGCCTCAGGCCAAACCAAATGGCTTCAGGAACCTGCCAGAAATGTCATATTTTCCTAAGTCCAATAAACAGATTCCTGCACCTGCTTGCCTGGTCTTCATAGGGCTCTTTGCGCACCAGTGGCAGGCAGTGAGGTATGACAGTGAGACCTCAAAATATAAGGGAAACATGTGGGGGGAGTGAGAGCTGGGGTAACCTCAACAATGATCCCGTTCTACCACACACTTTCTCCCTCCTCAATCTGCAGGCTCTGCAAGCAGTCTCTTGGCAAGCTGCACTCAAAACTCTTGGTTTCTGTCGAAGCTGGCTACCTCATAAGCTGGTGGGAAATGAGCTAATTATACAGAGGGCAGCTAGTCCCTAAGGTCAAAGTCATTTTTCTTGGCAAACAGGACACTTCTCTTTTCCAAGAAGACATTCCTCTTTCTTTCTGGTCCTTGATTTTTTTAAATTTTATTTTTATATCTCCGACCTTTCCTCGGGGAGGCAGGTCATGAGAGGTCCCTTGTTCAATATAAACAATTCGTTTTCTTCTTCAGCAGCTTTATATATAGCACAGACTAAGAATTCATATATTTTTAAATGCAGGGCACATTTGAAACCGCAGCAAGGCAAGCCACATTGATTCTCCCATTGGCTCTTTCCTAGATGAGTTAAAATTTCCCAGATGAGTATAAAAAGCAATATGCATAATTATTGCAGGATTCTGCCAAAGCCACAGCTCCCAGTCACACTGAGCACTAGTAGATTAAAGAGACTTTTGAAGCTTCTTGTTTCTTGTGGGAGAAAGCTGTGGTGCATACTAACTAAGAGGTCTTCAGCATCCAAAATCCAAATGGAAAGTCCTTGAGGATCAAATGGATTTAGCTGGGCAGCTAGTGGCCTCTTGCTATTATAAACGATAGTGGAACATTTAGCAGTCTTCAAGTCACTGCCCTCTTGAGCTATTTCTGCAGAAGATTCTCATTTCGCACCTTCTCCACAGTGTTTTATACCTTAGCTGCTTCTGGAAGAGATTTTTAAAGGTGCAACCATGCTACCCCCTTCATGGTCATCTTGGAAGTTTCATTTTGTTTAGCCATTCCATATTTTGTCATTGTTTCTTCCATATTTTTTCCTATTAGAGTAAATATATTAAAGGGCAAAAATAGAACAGCTGTTATACAATGTCATTGACTTGTGAGTGGTAGGAATCCTCTGCCTAGAACCACCTAGAATAATTGAATCATAGAATTGGAGGACTGAACAGGGCAACAAGAGCTATTTTGTCTAACTCACTCCTATGCAGGAATTTACATCTAAAGCTGATGTAAGAGGTGGCTATCTAACACTTCTGAAACGCATCCCATGAATGAGAGTCCACCACCTTCCAAAGTAGTCTTTACTGTTAAACAGCCCTTACTGCCAAGAAGTTATGCCTAAATTTTAATATCAATCTGCTTCCTTGTAAATTGAAACCATTGCTTTGGCCCCATTCTCTGGAGGACTAGAAAAACAAGCTCAGTCTCTCTTCCATTGGAGAGCCATACAGGTATGCAAACATAATTATCAAATCAGTCTTCTCCTGATTAAACATACACAACTCACTCAAAATGTTTCTCATAGGACTTATGGAGGGGTTTCATTTCGAACTGGTTTACTATTTTGGTTGATTATCTCTGGACATGTTTCTGCTTGTTGCTATACTTCATATAGTGTGCTGCTCAGAACTGGACACAGGATTCCAGGTAAGGTTTGACTGTATCAAAACAGAGTGGTACTATTAATTCTCTTGATTTCGAAGTCACAGCTGATCCACTTGCCAGCCCAATCAGATCAATTTACAGAATCCAAACCTCCATGTGTCACAAACAGGTCAAACAAGTTGCAGAAAAGTGTCCCGGAGGAAGGGGGTAATTCCAGATGGCTCTCTCTAGTGAGCCAAGATGCATACTTTATGGGATGGCTGAAACAAAATCAGCTCTGTAGACTTCCTGAGATATTGCCAGTATACTTTGAAGGCCAACTGCAACTGGCCAGGACCAGAAGCATCAGAACAACCAAAGGGGTCGCAGCTTTGCCATCAACGAGTACCTGAGTCCATCTGATGTGTCTTCAGCTTCTCTCTCTCTCTGGAAGGGAGACCCTGAAGCCTGAACAGGTATAATCTGTTTTCTAAGCTTGAATAAAACTGCCTTCCACCTACATCACCATATCTCTAATTATATTGTACCTCTGTACATTTTAATCAGTGGTTCAAGTAAGCAGTTTTTAGATTCATAGTGGAACTATGGGTGTTCTTCCTTTTGGTTAGTAATGTGCACACCTCAAGCATTTTGGGACCCACCTCCTCATTCTTTTAAGTAGATCTGCCTCCAAGACCTATCCTGAAGGTCCCACTTGTGAAATCCATATTTAGTGAAATAATACAGCAAAAATAGAATACATTAGGAAATTAACAAGCCATTGTTCGGAGTGATGTTGATGATTTTCCTTATGATAGGAATGGAACAAAAGTTTCAGCAGTAGCACCTGTAATCCTTAAAACTTATTTCTCATTAGGTTCCTTGAAAAATGAGTACAAATAGCAATTTTTTTTGGGGGGGGGGCAGGGAGTTTACTGAAACTTGCACAAAAATGTTCACAATATCAACATCAGTACTAATGTAGGCTAGAATTCTGTTGGTGATATATGTGGGTGTACAGTGGGGGTTACACCCACTCATGTCATTTTATAGAGGGTGTGGAAAGAGGTATTCACCACCTCGGTGGAGCTCTGGGAAAGTGACATCTTTTCTCATCACTCAGCTGCAAAACTATACTCTCTGCCTGCCCCTGAGCCTTACATGGCTATGGGAGATGTGCTTTTCCACTGGGCTTTCATCGTCAGAAGGTGGAATTGTGCTGGTGGAGTGTTACATTGCATCAATTGCATGTGGGATCCCAGCCAGAAAATCTGGTCACAATTCATTTGTAAATATGCATTTTAGGGATCACATACAGAAATTCGAAGTGTTTATATACCTGCTATGTGTGTGCATGTGTTGTGTGCTTTCAACTCATTTCTAATTTATGGCAACCCTAATGCGACCTTATCATGGGGTTTTCTTGACAAGTTTCTTCAAAGGAGGTTTACTATGGCTATCCTCTGAGGTTGAGAGAGTGTGATGTCACCCAGCAGGTTTGCAGTGGGTCATAATGGTAAGAAACCTAGCATTTATCAGTTTTGAGAAAACAGAGTCTGAGCATGATAAGTTATGCACACAAAACACAACTCGGTTCTTTTTTGCATTCTTCAATGGGGTTGCAGAATACAAAGACAAGTCAATAGAAACCATTTCCTTTCATTTGCTCAAGCTGCTCAGTAAAATCTTCCTCCTCCCCCTCTTTTAGCTCATCCTAAGAACATTTCTTGAACAAACATCTCAACTTTTGTGGAACTGAACAAAAACATTGCTATTTTTTAAGTACAGCCATAGGCCAAGGGGGATGGTGGTGTGGATAAACTTGTTTATGAAAACCATACTTTTAGCATTTGCATGGTGTGATCTGCTCTCTCTATATATTAGTTAAAGCTAACAGGAAAGCATAGCAAAGACAAAACACATGGAGTATGAGGCAATATTTTTTCTCTTTCTCATGCATGCATTTCTCTCCTTGGCATGCATGACTACAAAAAACTTTAACTGCACCCCAGTCTCAGAGTTAGGAAATAATACTTTTTAAAGACTGCAGTGGCCTTCTAGCTGGGTGATTCTAAGAACTGTAGTCTTAAAAAAATCTTTTCCAAGATTGTCTAAATCCAAACTCTTAAGAGATTTGACATATACATTCAAGTGCATTACAGAACATCACTATGACACACAGGTACCAATCATTTAAACCTCCTAGCTCCCATAGATTTTCTCATTAATAATTCTTACCATTTTTACCACATTTTGATGTTGCTTGGCTACATGTGTCCTGGTTTTCATCTGTGAAATGTTGAAGGGCATGCCAACAAAAGAAGGACTCACTTCACATGTTTATTCAAACAATTTCTATAGGCTAAGAATGGGGGCAATCTACTTTTTTTAAGGGAGGAAAAAAGGGGTCTGGGGAGTCTGGAGGGGTTGAAAACGAAAAAAAGTCAGCCTTGGGAAAGCTTTGTTCTAGCTATAGATGAAAACTAGCCTGGCAAAGATCATGGTAATGCCTTTTCTGACACTGGCCCATATTTGGATGGTTAAGGGTTTTGATGAGAGGATGCAAAACTATGGGGGGAAGCAGACGGAAGCACC